GCGCGACCCATAATTTTCCGATCCCAAGGAGCATACCGTCGCGTCGTCGCTTGGGAATGAAAAGCCATTGGCGGGGACGCGAACCAGCCCAGCGACCAAGACACCTGCCAGCTATTGGAATCCGCTCTGCGGGGAAACAAAAGTTAGCAGCCGTAAATTGTATTTCTTTTTTTTCTCCCTCCCTCCAACGCAGAGGGGGAGGAAGACCACGGAACCGCGATTCTTTAATTTTATGCGCAAAGTTCGAGCGGCCCTTTTAAAAGTTGGCCGCTCGACTACTGTCACCTCATGAGCGTCCTCACGCAAAACCCCCAAGAGGTTCGGGGCCGCGCAGACCAAACTTTATGTATATTCAACGGGACGGGCTCATACTTGGGCGTTAATCGAGTTAACGATCTATCGCTTCGCTCCAACCCCCCATCATATTGTACGGGCTCCGAGACTTTCTTGTTGGGAATATTTGCGAGGTCTTATTGTACTTCCTCTCGCTGGCTCGTACAGGTAACCAACTGCAGCGGGGGCGTCGATTCGCGGTAAAATGAATTTTAACTCGGGCGAGGAGAGAAGAGAGTTGGCCGCGAGAAGAAGTTGTAGGTGGCTACGTTTTACGTGAACTATTTCGGGATCAATTTTCACGAGCCCAAATGTTTGTTTTTTTTTTNCTCATAAAAAAATATTCAAAAGAAATTCTTTAGTGAGCATCTAGAATAATGTATACACTTTCCTTTTAAAGAGCACATTAGAAAGTTTGTGACACTTTGTGAAGCTTATGACTGTGTTATGAACATTTCACATGTAATTCAAAATTTTATCGCAAATTTAAATGTATGTGTGAACTAGAACTATTTGAGTCTATTTTTGTACTTTTTTTTCTGGACAGTGGATTGTCAAAGCTACGGTGCCATGTAGGGTACGATGGCTGATATCACCAAGGATAAAAAATAAAAAATCTTGAGATACTTTGTACCAGCGATGAGGGGTGGGGGCGAAAATTACTTCCAATACATTTGATATTGCATGGGGAAGGGTTTCCGAGGGAACGCGAGAGCTGGGAAATGTTATCTGGGACGACGCGAGAATAAAAACCGAGAGTAACGAAGGAACGTGCCGTTACGGTGCACGAGGGCGAAAAAAACAATAGATTCGGGAGCAACGAGCTCGATAACATCCGAGAACAACGAGGACGCGTTAAATTTTAAGTGCATGGGGAAATTGTTCGTAAGCTCTCGTGGATGAGCTTTGCTTTTTTTTTTTTTTTTTTACACACGTTATGTCTGATTTTTCATTGCCGTGTCGCTTCGAACAACCAACCGATCGTCGAGACTGCAAAGTCCAGAATCATCGGTGGCGTAGAAAAAAAAGAAAAAAAAAAAGAAAGAATGGCTCGGCCAATCGAATAAACGGTGGCGGTAATTATTCATCAATGGAACTCGATCGAATTAACGGTGCTCGGGCGGAGGGGTGGGGGCCGATTAGAGGGTGGGCAATCAAGGTGCGGAGAGAAAAACGAGCAGGACGGACCTCCATCGATTCGTCCCTCCATTTATCTCTCTTCTTCTTCTTCTTTCGGCGAACGCAAGCACGACGAAATTGTCAAATTACGGACGTGCGTGCGCGTGCGGTCGCATGGTTAACGAAATTAGTGCCCTTACTCCCCCCTGTCCATTGCCATTCGTCTCTTTCGCACCTTTTTTTTTTTTGTTCCTCCCATTCTTTCGTTACAGTCCTCACCCTCATATATGTGTATACATTTTTTTTCTCCCTCCCTCTCTCTTCCATCCCTCGTACGCGTCACGTATGTAAGCCGTTGTCGCGGGGGTGGTTTTTTGCGACATCCCATAGCACGTGCTCCTGCTCGCTCACCGTATTACTTACTAGCAACCCCCAGCCCCTCTGACTTTATTTTCTCATTTCTCTTCTTCGTCTTGGCCCTCGTACCATCGCGGGTTAACGTATGCCAATACAGGGTGCTGTCGAAGCGGTACAATGTAGGTGCCCTTTTCTGAAATACAGCCTGCTGGGAGGAATAAACAAAAAAATTCTAAAAACCTCACACATGGTGGTCCAACCACGTGGACGGTGCTCTTTTTTATATAATATCTCTCGAGTTGTAACACTTTCTGTGGGATAATTGGATGTGACGTGTGTACGCGAACAGGAGGAGCGAAAAATAGAGAATAACGAGATGAAAAAGAACAAAGGTCTCTGACTTGTAAGATCGATATTTTCTTGCTCTAATGGATTTTTGAAATTTTATGGGAGATCCCTTTTGGACCTTATGGATTTGGCAAGGGGCCTGCAAAACCTTCCGGACGCGGCATCTGTTTCTTTGGTTGAAAAATATACACCGAGTATGCTTGACGAGATGAGCTACGCTGGGGAGGGAAAAAAAAAATAAATTTGGCTTTTCGAAATCAAATCCCAGCTGGAGTTGGCTCTACGTCAAAACGGGTTCGCGATGATTTTCAGATGATATTTTTTGCTCAGACGAGAGGAGGGGAGTTTCATTTGTTTGAAAAACGACGAGCCGAAAGTAATAAACCAGGTGAAAATGAAAATGAAAATTCGATGTATCTTTGCGGGAACTTTCCAAGCGCAATGTACCAAGGTATATGTACACCAGACACGGTGGAACAACGTATGCACCAAAGATACATTGGGACCCTGGCCAAAGTAATACACAAAGTGAGCGTAGCTCAATACCAGAAAGCGTGCACTTGCATACATCTTTTGTCCGACACGCAAATAAAGCACGCGAGGGCAGCTCTAAAGCACCGTACCCTCCTCCGGAGAAAAAACTAAACAGAACTCGAGAGGAAACCTATACAGTAGCCATCCGCGTGATTGTTCCCATGCCTCATTTGGATCCAGCGCACGCTTCGGCCGTACGTTTTCTCGTTCTGCAAAGTAAAAATTCTCGCAGGTGCCAATTATTCACATTTGCAGGGGGTGTCTACGGGTGTAGCCTCCCCGGGGGAGTCCAGACGAGTAAAGGCAGAAGAATCGCGTGCGCGCAATTGCATATCAGCCACACCTTGCTCCTCCCGTTTCGCGCGGGTAAGAGAGAAACGCGCAACAAAGCGCGCACTGCTGCCTAATTGAATTGACCGCCTCGGTACGTGTGCCGAGGCTAATTTCCGAGCATCCCCCTCGCGATGTATCAAGCGCTAAGGGAATGAGGAAGAAAAAAAAAAATAAAGAGTATAAGAGAGAGAGGGGGGATGGTGAGGAGCGAAAGCGATAAAAAAAAGGGTGGTGCACTCAAATCAGCCGAAGGTACGTGTAGCACGTCCAGAGTTCACGACCCCTACCGTCCCTTTATTTTTCCCACCCACCCCCTCCAGCGGTCGCGGCGCAGAAGCGTTTAAGTGATTTCCAGATCCTAAAGGCCGGCAGCGGCGCTTACAAGCAAAGCGTTTTAGCCACGGGTCTTTTAATTAAATCGGAGGCCTGATATTTCCATCCCCCATCCCCCATCGACCTCCGTCATCTCCTCGTTCTCGATACAAAGTCTTTTCTGGAGCATTGGAGACCCGCTTGCTCCGTGGAGAAAGGATTGACTGATCCAGACAAAGATCTAGTCGTTTAAGGAGTGGAGACTTTTTTTTTTCTACACACAAGTCACCTCCTCCAAGAGCTAATTCATATGTATATAAGCGCGAAAGTTGCGTGGGGTTTCCGGGAAAGAGGATTATGGGCCGCAGGTATGGCTAAGCGGATTAATATATTTTTGAGGCGCTCGTTTGATATTCCGGCGAATGGGGGATCGGGGGTGCGGTGCGCGGATACGAGAGTCGATAATGGTCGGCGATAATTAACAAACAGTTGGGCCAACTCGATTAAACTTCGTGGCTGCCAGTAAAGAAGCTCTCTCTTTCCGCTTGACTGCGTTGATACTTGTACTCCCCGGGCCTTATCCCGACCAGTGCATTTATGTTACATTTTTTTATAACATACAAAGTCGCTACCACGGAAGTTTGACGTTTTTTCCTAGCTTCAACGAGTTTCACGAATCGTTTGGATCTTGTCAGATTCAAGTAGCTTTTTTTTAACTTGTCAATGCTCGAAGGTATGAGAGACATGTAGGACGATCATGTTCGATACATTGTCCAACAAATTATAAAAAATCTGAATGCCTGAGAACAGTTGGAATAATATGTTCTTGAAGATCGTGTTTAGAAGAAAATGTGCATAAAGTTGTAGCAAATAAATGTCTTGACAGCTTTCCAATGATGGCTTACCTTTAGGTGCTATTGCGTTATAAAGTCGCCACTGTCACGATGAACAATTCATAGATTTCGTTTAAAATTCGAGCTTTTCATTTACGAGTTATTATGCTCAATTCGGGGCAACTCCCGATTCATGAATTATTCCAAAGAGGAACGAAAATTTGATATTTCCGTGGAAAATCCAAACCCTTGATTCCGAGTACAACAATAGACTGCATGAATCCCTTGATGGGATAAGACGCAGTTTCATTATCCCTAGCTTGTTATTTCAAACTGAACAAAAGAAGTAGCCCCTAGTTGGAAAATTTTCCCTCTAACAAGCTCAAACAGAGAAACGAGGAGAAAAAGCGAAATCAGTCGCGAAAAAAAAAGAAAAGAAAAGAGGAACGAGAGAGATTTTAAATGGCTCAAAAGAACGGCTGCCGCGAGTGGCGGCGATGCCAAAAGGAGGAAACAAAGCGGTGGAGGAAAGAAAGAAAGAAAGGAGAAAATTAGAATACCTTTGTAGCGAGGGAAGATCGGGGGTAGTACACCCTTGAAAGAATCTCCGGTGATTCGACTTATTTTCGGCACTCGCCTGATTACGCCAAAGTTCCTCCGCTGCCTTTGCTTCCCAGCTCAATATTTTCCCCGGCAAATTAGAGGTACTCATCCCCAGTATGTATAGTTTAATGTCTCTGAATTTCTGTGCGTCCACCAATGACCAACCAATCACGTATAATAAACTCGTTTCCCATTTAACTAACGCGCGGGTGATTTTATGTGTTGCAGCTACGACGCGCGCAACTTGAAGTACGGCAAAGTGAAAATCTGGAGCTCGGACAAGGTCTGGGGTAACAGGGCGATTTTTCACCCCACGGCGCCCAGCCACCTGGACATCCAGCACGTGAAGGAGAGCGACGCCGGGGAGTACAGGTGCCGCGTCGACTTTCGCAACTCCCAGACCAAGAATTTCAAAGTCAACTTTACCGTCATTGGTGAGTCTCTGGGTACCTCGATGCTTTGTTATGCGCATATTATGATACATCACGGGGTGTGTACGGCACGTCGGCTCATTAATAAAATATCGAGAGCGCAAAGAACTGCCGTGCATCAACCTACAGGCATAGCATGTGTATGGGTACTGCGGGAGTAGTTTTACTGCTCTCTGAAGGGACGTGGGGGGTGAAGTATATTTTCCGGGTCGGTGCACGCTCGCACCACCACCACCACAGAGCCGTTGTTGCTCTGTCGTTTGTTTTGCAATGCGTTACATTATTCAGAGCAGCTCGAAAATTGGTTATGCGGAAGGGAAGTCCGCGAAATGATGCACGGGTTATTCAATCCGGGTGGTCTTTCATCAGGTGAAATTGTTTGCTAGTCCTTGATATTTCGTGAGAACATTTATGATTCAACGTGTCTGTACCTAATAAGGATGATGGGAAAAAAAAAATTTTTTTTTAGTTTGGTAGTGCCCATTTATGGGTTCACGATGATGATCAAACAGTATCGTCTATGCAGGTGGTGATGATGAAAAAAGTTTTTAATTTTGTTTTCGTCTGACCACACCAGCAGCATTTAACAACAATTAACAACCAGTGTGTACCAAAAATGAAATCGTAAACGCTTTACTCGTGATTAGCTCTCACAAGTAACAAATAGACCGCGTTCATTGATTAAACGTATTTTTCTACAGAGTTTTAAAAGTTAAAAAAAAAAAATTCACTCTACCATCACATCATACGCGTAGCTAGTAACATCATGAAAACAGAAAGGTCTCGTCTTTTCACTTAGAATCGGGAAACGTATGTACGTACAAGAGCACGTTGACTTTTACTTTTTTTTTTTTTTTTTTTTTTTAATTACCAACTCTACCTACAAAGGTAGGAAAGTTTGTCGAGGGTATACGGGATGAAAAGTCGAGTTCGCTCTTGCGCGAGTTGAACAATTTTTTTTTTACGTGCCACGGATTTTCCACAAAGTTTATTAAAACATGTTCGTAACCAACTATTGATTTTTTTCTCTTTTTCCATTAGTCGCCCAAAAATTCCACAAAGTAGAGTTTCAAAGATGGAATAGTCCATCCACCCAACAGTAATAATAGTAATTACTATCGTTAAAGTGTATTAAGCCTGAGAAAATGTGTGCGTTAAACAAAGCCCACCAAAACAAATTTTAAAAAACCACCATGAAACTTTCCCACCACGCCGATAACGCTCAGGATCAAGGACTCGCCAACTATTTTGGACCCACTATGGTATACCCACCCCCTAAACATTGATCAACGGCGCCTAAGGTATCCCGAAATTTCATTTTTCCCTCCTACCCATTGTCACACCTGCATCGCCAAACTATTTCCCAAACTACCCGCTAATCGTAACCCCTTCCTTCTCTCGGACTTTGCATGAGCACCAACGCAAATATCCGCGCCCAGTACACACCACGAGCGTGATTATTCTTTTGGAGCGATCAGCTCGCCGAGACAAATATCGCAGCTAAGCCCTTCCTTCCGCTCTCAAACCATATAAGACGCCAAGGACGAGCGGGGGGGGCCTCCTTTGGCGAGGATCGATAGTTTGATTTAAAAGTAATTTATTGTCCATCGGACAAAAGGGGGAATCCCGTATACGCGCGATCGATCGCCGCCTCTCGCTCTCGAGCCCGACGGCACCAGCTTCTCCTGGGGAAAACGCGACCCCCCCCCCCCCCGTTGGCTTCCTCCGCTCGTAAGTACTATCTCAGGCTCACTTTGTCTCGAGTCCTCCTGTTCTCTTTTCCTCTTTACTGCAGCTGTACCAAAGTCCTTTCGGCATTGGCATCGCTAACGCAGTTTGTCTTCTAACCGTCCATTAAACTGAATTAGGAGCGACTGCGAGCTCCTTCCCTCCGAGTTGGTCTACCCACCTACGAAGAAGAACAAGGGTATAGCTACTCCTTCCCTACCCTGCCACTTTCAGAGCTCTGAGGTAAAAGAACCTTTCGATAGCCTTCTCCTTTCTTTCTGCTCGACAAAAGCTGCCCCTCCTCCGTCGCTTGCACCGCGTACGAAACAAAATTTGAATGGTAAAGTAGGCAGGCCACGAAAACTTGGATCACCTATACACACAGAGGGTAAAAGTATCAGGGGTGGACGAGGGGGAGACAATGCCGGGACGAAAACTACAAACGCGAGCTGTGAGTCTCGGAGGTCGTGGCGAGTTCAAGCGAAGGGAAACAAAACGGCCCCGATTAATCGAGCTTCGGCGTTGGACGCGTGACGATTCGCAAGGCTGTACATTCGTAAGCGCCTCGGCTACAAAGTCGGCTTTTTTTTTTTCTCGGAGGGTCGCGGCGCCGAAATCGTCGCGAAAGAGCGGAATAAGAGCGCAAGCGAGATAAAAGCAAAGGCGCCGAGTGAAAATAGAATAAGGCGGGAGGAGGGAAAAGAATGGCGCGGTGGGAGCAGCCAACCGGGGGGGATATTGTCCCCGAGTCGGATGTACGGAATAGGGAGCAACGTCTTTCCCGGTAAAAGCCGACCGTTCGTTCCTCTTTTCTCGGTCTCAGGGTCAACGATCATCGCTGGCTGCGCGCCAAATATTTCCCCCTTCCGCTCCAGCTACGATAGTCGGCCCCAAAGATTTCAGCCGGGGGTGGGATCTTTATCGATAAGCACCGGCGGGGGCTGATTGAAACACCCCCAACGGTAATTCGGGAGCGCCATCCGAGCTCTAACGAGTCGAGCCCTGGTATCTACGAGGTATAATCTACGAGGGGGGTTAATGACGCTAGAACCACCACCGCGGCCACGAGCGTCTTTTCCCTCGTTGACGTCACCGCGTTGCTCTCTCGAAACTCCCGGTGCAGCGGCCCTCGTCGCAGCAAGTGCCACTGCATGGTGTTGGGAGTTGTAGCAAGACGACGACTCGGGCGAAAATGGGGCTGTAGGAGGGGGCGGGGGTAGATTGGCTCGTGGCCCGGTGTGCTTTCGGCTGGAAAGCGTTCGAGGGCAGCGCGTGAACCTTATATTAGGCGCAGCCGAGCGTATCACGCGCCCAACCCCCCCGAAACTCGGACGGGGCAGTAAGTTGGTTGTGATTCGGTGATTAATGGGCGTCTCGCGTCCGATGCGCCTGACGGAAGGGGTCTACGACCCCCTTTTCTCTCCCGCTGCCGTAACCAGATCCGACGGGAGATGGGAAGAAAAAAAAGGGTAGGCGAAGCCTGTCGATGGCTCGTCGCTTGTTTTTGCGCCGTGAAAAATGCACCCATCTGCGTATCGCATCCTTTTTTGCCTTTGACGAGCTATGAGCGATGAGCTTTGCTTCTTTTTCCCTCCTCCCTCCTCGAGCGAGCTCGGCTCATGAAGAATCCACAGTTGGGTGTTTTTATTTATGCGCCGGGAGAATTATGTTTGCGCGTGGAAATGGGAAATCACGTTGTTTCGGGGATTGAATTATGTTTGCGCGGGCGCCTTTTGAATAAGGAATTAAGCGCGGATGGATTTAACTTTCGGGGGGTTGGGGGTGGGGGGGTGACACTTTTGAGAGTGTAGTACGAGCGCGAGGTGGAAATATCGCGGGTTTTCATTTGATTTCGCGGATCTCCGGGAAGGCGAGCGAGTTTTTTCCTCGAGGCTTTTGTACGTGTGTACACAGGAGAGCAGAGCTGAGCCACGTTACTCTCTCGCGCGCGGGTGTTTATATTAATTTTGTTTGCGGAGCTTTTCGGACGCAGTCGTTTGAAAATGAGGAAGGAGCTTGCGAGGCTGCAAAGAGGAAGTATCGATTGAAAATATGCCCCCACTCCAAGTTTGCCTGAAAGTGAACCAATCGATGCCATCGGTGTATTTCCACTTAATGAGCTCCCTCGAGAGCAAACGTTATAAACGCGAAATTTTTACTCGGCGGCGAAACGAGTACACAACGTCAACTGCGACGGGGAAGCATTAATTTACCCGATTGCAGATCGCTCCGGGAATTAAATGGGCTAGAGTGGAAAAACGATGAAAATGAGCGGATGGGAAAAAGTGTCGCCTCGGCGAATGACGGAAGAAAACTCGGGACACGCGGAGGTTGTATTTCGGACATTTGTCGGATCGAGGCTGAAACGGGGAGATTAAAGTGCAGCCCGAGTGTGCCACGGCACTTGAAATTCCCTCGAGGGATTTGCGACGTAGCCCAACGGGGGAATCGACGAAGCTTTTCCTACGTACGAGCCTCGAGGTTGAAAGGACCGAGAAAGTTTTTCCTCCCCTGCTACGGTGGGGGCGAAATGGATTTACCGCTTACATGCGTAGTTGTCGATGTCTCGGAGGCTGAATCTTGGAAATTGTTTAATCTCGCCGTTGATCGATGCTCCGCGCATTAGCGCGCACCTGCATTCCCGAGGGGCGTGTCTCCCGAGCGCGAGAAAAATATGGTAAGCGGAAAAATCCAGGCGAGAATTTTGAATCGGGGCACTTGGGACTGAGAATCCGTTTAGGCGTCGCTGCAGAAACTTTTTAATCTCCAACTCGGCAAAGTACCTCTGCACGCGAGAAACGCAACTAGCGCTGTAAACTGATGGCCTTCCGTCATTTGGGAACTTTCTGCGCCGGGGTAATTTTTACCCTTCGAAAAAATGATTTTCCTCCGTACGGCTTTCAATGCAACTTTAAATTAGTTGCAAAATTATTACGATTTCCAAGTGATTGCTTCGGAGAAGATAACGTGTGGGAAAAGAAAAAAAAAAAAAAAAAAAAAAAAAAAAAAAAACTAGACTAGAAAAGCGAGCGAACGAGTGAGAATAAAGGAAAAATCCCCACCGAATTGTAGTTGGCTTCTTCTTCTCGGGCAAATCGTATACGACACGTCGTGTCGCGTGATTCGCAAAACAAACGCGCGATACCGGCACCCACAAACTTCCGGACAAACTTCCTTTATCCAAACAACCCAACACCCGCCTGTGCTCGTGAAAATTCCTCAAGAGCTTATGACAGAGACGAGTGGAAACCACCACTCCCTCCCTTCACCCACAC